TTCAGTTTCCAACCATCAGGCTAAGGAAGACTCTTACACTATCCTCACTTATCAAGCTGTAAACTGTTTTAAAGGGATGCTAGTTATCTTCCTTTGGTTTTCCTTGACAGAAGCTCACTGAAGTTTGTATAGAATTATGTGATGTTCAGATGTTGAGCAGAAATGCACCGCTTAATCTCTTTGCCTGCCAGCCAATTCACTCTCTACAGAGACCTCCATAAAAAAAAACATGCCTCTTTTCCTGTTATTTTAGAGCCCATCCTCAAATCCACTCAGCATTTCCTGTGTCTACCTCAGAATCAATCCCTGATTTAAATTGTAGTTTTTACTGTTCTTCTCACAATGGGAACTATGTAGCTTGCATCATCTTAACAGAGAAAGAGAGAGAGAGAGAGAGAGAGAGAGAGAGAGAGAGAGAGAGAGATGTCCTTCCACTTCTTTGTTCAATTTTTCTTAATCCAGGAAGACCAGATTGAAGTCATGGATTGAAAACAAAGGAGTTGCTAAGGAAATACACACACACATACACACACGCGCAGCATATTGTGGGCTGCAAAAGGTTCTGCAATAAGATGATCTGGTATGGAATGTTCCTGTTTAAAATGCCAGTCAACCAGGCATATTCCCTTGTAAAATTCTATTTGTTGGCTTATTCAGTTTTATTTCTCCCTCTCCAAGTTAGTCGCTTTTCACTTAAATCTTTCCCACTCTTTCACTTATGGTTGAAGTTCAACCAGTCTCATCATTGGACCAACTTGGGAAGAGAGTATAAATTGAAGCAAACACATTTATCACTGCTCCACACAAGTAATATTCTGTGATTTTATTTTACAGATTTGTCATTTTAGGAAGGCAAACTTTGCTTTTGTGATTCCCCCCCACCCACCCATAATTTTCACAGAGTCCTAATGAACCCTTCCTGCAGTTTCATCTTGATCCTACTTGACTTCAGTCTTCCCAGCATGCTGCCCTCTTGAAGTAGCTCTTAAAGGAAACAAATGAGATGGCCCACAGGGTTACAAGATGCTTAAAAGAAGTGATGGTATTCTGACATTCAAATAATAAATCATACCTTCTTTTAGAGTACTAAATGGGGAGTGGGTGGAGCTCAAACAAAACAATCCTCAAGCATTTTCCCACTTGTGGTTTCAATGAAACTTTTAGAACTATATGGCTTCAAGAGACCTTTGAGCATGTGCAAAAGCCACTAGGCTGTTTCATTTATGTTTCTATCCAAATACTTCATCATAGTTTTTTCCCTTTATATTTCAAATACCGTATAATATGTTACTGTGTTGTTTTTTTCTGCACTACATATACTGCTCCAAGAGACACTGAATGAATGAATGAATATTATTTCTTTATGCATGGACTTATTTCAATTCAAATATGGAACATACTGTTCTTGAAATAAGTGTGGGGATATGGATTTGTATATGAATGAATGATACTTTGGGAAGATCATAATTTAATTTAATTTTGTTCTTTCATTTTGCTGATTAATAATATTTATTTCTAAAATATTTACTCAACATTGAGCTAATAGAGTTCCAAACAGTTGGACTGATCTGCTACAGATAATCTATTTCAACACTTGCTAAATCATAATTTAAGAATGTGCGATGCCCCCAAATATAGGTGACAGTATTATTATATCATAAAACAATGAATTATCTATTTGTTACATTTATATCCTGTAATAAACAAGGCAACATTTATTTATTGATAATGTGTCTTACCAATATTTTGTCATTTTAATAAACTTATTTTACCTTTGCAACAATCCAACAAGGTAATTAGATAAATACTGACAGATAAATACTGTCCAGAAGCCAATTTCAGAGTGATGTGGGATTTGTTTTCCCAATCTTAACTGAATATGCTAATCCTCACTTTTAGAAATGAATTTCATCATAATCTTCCTCTGAATTTTGTTTTACTTAATGCAGTTCTAGGAAAAATGTATATGCAAATCCTCCATCCAGCCATTTGTTCTGCTAGCACAATGAACTCAGTAATAAATGTGGTATTTTATGCAGGATAAATTGGGTTGAGGCAATCACGGTGCCCGAGGTGGCGTATAATATGGTTGCTATATTTGCACTGTCTAAAAAGAGCATATACCCTGGAGAGGTGAATGCTATATGTCTTGTGACAGGCATAGCATAAATGCTTTATTTATTTTTTTGCATTTATATCCTGCCTTTTCCTAAGACTTTAAAGTGACTTAGACTCTCTCTTTGTTTTATTCCCCACAACCAACCCTATATGCTAGGCTGGGAGTAGCCCAAAGTCATTTGGAGAGTTGTACACAGGCACAATCTTGAAACTTCACACAGTGAGAGCATTGGATGTTTTGTGCCTTTAAAGTGGATCCGGCTGCTTTCTATGTGGCCCTGTAAAATTTCTGAATGTGGCTCAATTCATGGTATTTGAATGCTGGCCTATCTCTTGAAGGCTACGTGCAGCTCTTGGGAAGAGGACAGTTAAACTGATAGCTTTAGTCTCCATATTATGCAGGAGTGGGGGGGGGGGAGAAGGAGAAGTGGATAGAACTATGTCAAAGAATAAAGAGCTTTAAGTGAGCCCACTAATTCATAGAGTGACTGGATTTTAATTGGATTTCTTGATCTGCAACCCGAAACAGTAAGAGAAGATTTGTTCTCTAACTTTCTGATTCTTACAGCTGGAAAAAATGCCTCTATTTGCCTCCCATCACACTTTGCCTTGCCCTGTTCTGGTTTAGCGTTTCAGATAACCAGAAAGAAGAAATATAGTGCTAGACAATCTGGGTTTTAGTTTACTGGATCTACACAGAGACATACACACACCCAGTGCTTTTTTTGTAAAAAAAAAAAAAAAAAAGTGCTGGAACTCACACACGTCATACAACCTGCCTTGCCTACCCTACAAGGTTCATCCCAAAAAGGTGCCGGAACTCCGTTCTGGGCGTTCTATGACAAAAAAAGCCCTGTACACACCTACTGTTTTTGGGCAGGATCCAGGGAGGTATACAAGGGGCAAAAGAAAAGTCATGATAGCAGCCACAACTATGTGATCAAAGACCTGTCCTTTTCATATGTATTGATTATATGATTGTGACTCTCTTGATCCTGTTGGTGTCCCTGGCAGAATCAACTACTGTAGGTATAGGCAAGGCATTCAAGCAGTTGTCAGCAACCGCTGGTCACTATGTTCAATTTTATAGTTATTCTTTTGGAAAGAAGCTGGGACCCAAGTATGTGGTCACAAGGATCAAGGACTCATATTTAAATATTGTTGGACACTATTTATTGTGCTTTAATCTTGCAATCATCAAGTCTGGGCTGGCAAAAATGTTAGACAGTGCAATATGAGAATGGAAATTGAACAGAGCAACCTGACATTGATGATACTCCAAAGAGAGCTACAATTGCTACCTGGCCCATGACCAGCATGGGCCAGTCATTGTCCCTGAGTGTAGGAATGGCTGACATTGTTTTGTTTTCACTCCCAGCCCATTGCAAATGCTCCACATAGCTGTGTTTTCCAGCTTCAGTTCAAAACTGCTATTTTCTGACATGAAAATGACATCTTAAGCCCTTAAGAGTGGAAACTCTTGAGCACTTTGTTCCAATTTGGCAACAGGTCATTGCCCTTGACAGCCATTTTGTCCTGATCTGTTATGTCCTCTACATTCTTCATAATCTTGCTTGCTTATAAAATGGCTGCCCAAGGAGCAAAATGAAAAATCGTCACTCCCAGAAACTCAAACCTTTCATCTTCCACTTGTAATCTACACGAGTTCCCCTTGCTTGGTTTTAAATTAGCAGATTAGTACTGCTAATCTTTCCTTCCCTTTTTAAAAACCTATAGAAAGAAAGAACTGGTAGTTCTGTATTCTCTGAAAGAGAACTACCAGTTCTTCCTTTCTTTATACAAATTTTTCTTGGATCTTCAGAGAAAAGTAGGAATGAAAGAACAACCTAGTCCTCTGTTGCTTTGATTATTATAGCATTAGAGCAACTATGTTGCAGTAAAATAGGGAAAAGAGTGAGGGGGATATCTGCAATATTTTCAAAGGATATACTATTGGAAAGGGGTGTATGAAAGCTTCCATATTTGCAAGCAGCAAAGGAAAATCACAGGAACTGGTGAGGAAGGAAGAACTAAAAGAAAAGGCACGTACTGATTGTTTGGTCAACAGATTTACATTCCCTATCTGGAATGCAGGTTGTGCGATGGACATAATGCCAACTGAATACCAACCAGTCCCATTGATAGATATTCATATGTGTGCTATTTGTATATATTTGTAATACTGGTTACATTGGAAGAATGCAAAGATTAGCTTGGCCCAGAGATCACACATGCACAGATGAAGCACAATATATATAATTTTGAAGCAATGATTGCGCACCATATAGCACAGGTTTTGTTATGTCCTGGGCCTGCTGAGCTATTCAGCAGGTGCAGGATGCAAATGACTATAAAAGGATGCAAGGGACTATAAAAAGAACCCGCGCTATTTTGTTTTCAGTTCTGTTGGTGTTTCAATAAAAGAAGACTGTTTTTGTTACTCCTGCTTCGCCTCAATGCCTTTTCTTTGGAAACAGAACAGGTGTATATATAAATTTCCCTGATTTTATTTTTCAGCTTTTCCAATTAAAATATCTCTGATAGAAAAGACTAGGAAAACCTGATTGTCCTTCCCCTTTCAGATGGGCCATAAAGAAAAAAAAATCTTAAAATCTGGGGGATGGCATCATTCCTTTTAATAAGATGGCACAAACATTTTTATTTTTTATTATTTTAAAAAAAGCTAAGCCAGAGTTCCATGGGTCAAAGATTAATTTTCATGGCATTTTTGTGGGCCTTCGGTTGAGATTTGCTAATGCAGAAGCAAATCCAGGGCACAGCCTTGAACTGTATTTTATTTTTGTTTTAAAATTTAAAAAGGGAAGGAGAAGAAAAACCCGTAAGCCAGCTCAGAAAACAGAATATCCGATATTTCAGAGTCCAGCAGCCTTTATTGGTAGCAACAGTATTAAATTAAATTGGTTAGAGATCAAAATGTTTCATACAAATGTTGGTGATTAAAATACTCCATGAATTGTATTATAAGTTATGTCTGATTCCACCATTGTAAAATCCTCAAAACCATTGTTTATATTTTCATCCAGTTCTTCCTTCTCTGTCCAAGTTTCTGTCCCCACGCTTAAGGGTGGCAATTGAAAACTAGTGGGAGTTGTTGTAATTATAGAACTGCCTATCTGCACTCTCTTTTCAGGAGGAATTATTGGTGATGATCTATCAGTCAGCAATTCCTTTTTCAGTTGCTCTTCTCTTGTCTAAAAAGAGACAAGTCTTTAGGCTAGGGCATAACACATTTTTGAGTGTCAAACACACACTTGTGCACAGGCACATGTATACATGCACACACAAAACTGGCCCTAATTAAGAAATTACTAATAGGGATGGAGTCAGCCTGTGAGAATAGTTAGTGAGGTTACAGAGAAAGAGCCTAACCTGATCTCCGTCTATTGATTTATTTTAATCTAGTTAAATTATTTCTACATAACTTTCTCTTCTGAAGCATTTTCAGTCAAATCAGCAGTAAAATGTACAATAAACAACATCTTAAATCAATATGAAGTAATCTTAAACAAAAATTAAAACATAATGAAAATGCAGAGGAAGCTTTCTTGCAACATTCATGCCAGAGCAGCCTGGCTGAATGTTTCAACAGATGCTTTAAAATAGTAATAGGAAACACCTCCGTAGTTTCAGAGACTAGAGCCTTCTGAATTATGGACAACATCTCAGAAACCTGCATCTCCTAGATGGCATTCAGTAGTTCTGATGTTAGTGATAACAGCAGATAAAGTATGTGTGTGACAGGTATGCCAATCCCAAGTTATTTAGGGCCTTGCATGTTAAAATCAAAATGTTGGCCTTGACTTGGTAATAATAATAATAATAATAATAATAATAATAATAATAATAATAATAATAATAATAATAATAATAATAATAATAATAATAATAATAAAGTTGGAAGGGACCTTGGAGGTCATCTAGTCCAACCCCCTGCTCAGGCAGGAAACCCTATACCATTTTGGACAAATGGCTGTCCAGTTTCTTCTTAAAAATTTCCAGTGTTGGCGCATTCGCCGCTTCTGGAGGCAGGTTGTTCTACTGGTTAATTGTTCTAACTGTCAGGAAGTTTCTCCTTAGTTCTAGGTTGCTTCTCTCTTTTGTTAGTTTCCACCCGTTGCTCCTTGTCCTGCCTTCAGGCGCTTTGGAAAATAGCTTGACTCCCTCTTCTTTGTGGCAGCCCCTGAGATACTGGAACACTGCTATCATGTCCCCCCTTGTCCTTCTCTTCATTAAACTAGACATACCCAATTCCAGCAACCGTTCCTTATATGTTTTAGCCTCCAGTCTAACTAACAGTTGTTTGACTCGCAAAGAGCACCCTCAAGCCCCAGTCAGCAACCCGGCTCTCACAAGCCGCACTGACTAGGAGTGCAGTTTCATTAGAGCAAGTCAACTCCCCTTTCCTGAAACTTGGGCCCACCCAGTCCCAAAACTTCTGACTTATTGAAAATCATTCCCAGTTTATCGCCCTCTTCTACTGATCACTTCATCCAGGCACTGGTTTGGAATATGTACACATTCTTCTGATTCAGATGTATGCAGAAGCAGAGCTGAGTCACCTTTCTATTGAAAACCTCCAGTTCTACAATCGTTGGTAAATAAAACCGGGGGATGTATTTTACAGCATCTTATAACATACTTGCTGAGGATTAGGACAGTCTAGGGCTTTCCCTATTTAATGTATCCTTGATTACTAGATATGCAAATGTTAATATAAAATGAGGTAGATTAAAGTATTTTTTTTACCTTATTTTCAGGGTGTTCTATTGATAAAGCATGCAATTTCTTCTGTTTCAGTTCTAGCTTTTCCAGTTTGGCTGGTGGTTTTTGTATTGTCCTTTCTGCAGGTACCAGCTGTGGAAATACAAGATAATTAGTGAAGGGGATATTGTATTTTAAAAGAAAACAGGCTGTTCTACTCTGTACATTTACATGAAAATATAAATTCTCTGAGCTGAAGCAGCTTCTTGGATGAGAAGCGAAAAGTCTTCAAAGAAAGTCCAGTTGCCTCATGAAGAAGCAACTTTGGGATAACTATGACCTGGATGAGTGAGACTCTCCATAGATACTCAGTGATATTTATGAGGGTTGAATAAAAAGTAATGCCACCACTTACATAACTTTAATTAAATAGGAATATTTTAATACACGAACCAGGAAAATAATTTTTGAGATTACCTCTTTTGTTACCTGTATTTATTTCTCCACATAATCATTGTTATTTGCTACTTTGTCTCTTCAACCAGGTCCTGACAATCCTTCCCACCTCTTCGTGTTAATCAAATAGATACCCATGAAGGTTTTACTTCAGTTTTGGGAAAAGATGGAACTTGCATGACATTAAATTGGATGGCGCATTGGATAGTTTAAGACAGTGTTTCTCAACCTTGACAATTTTAAGGCATGTGGACTTCAACTCCCAGAATTCCACAGCCAGCAATGCTGGCTGTGGAATTCTGGGAGTTGAAGTCCACATGCCTTAAAATTGTCAAGGTTGAGAAACACTGGTTTAAGACAATAAGATTCAGCTTTGCAATTGCCTCTTGGGTAGCTTAAGAGGCTTGAGGTCTGTTGTTTTCACACCACAAAACAATTTCCTTCCTATCCTTCAGAACTTTGCTTAATTGTTGTTTTAAAATTTTGACTATTAGCATAGTGGTCTGAGCTAATAGCTCAGGAAATCCATGTGAATAACATCATCTGCATCTCAAAAAATCTGTAATCTTGAAGATTTGGCTTTCTGATTTTTTTCCTCACATCTGAGTTTTGTGATGATGTAACATGGACTGAGTCTTCATTTTTGGGTCATAATGATGGTGTTTCATAGACTGGACAGTGCTGTGAAGAAATTTGTCTCCTTTTTCTGATGGCATGACAATTGCTGGCAAATTCAAGTTTGTTTCCTTTCTGCTATCAGCACGCAAGTAACCTATTTTGCACAGTACTTTTCAATTCAATTCAATCCAATCTTTATTACTGTCACAGACCAGCACAATTCTTTTGATATTGAGAAACATCAATAATGCAATCTGAACATTTCTGTGAAATGCTAAGCTTGACAGCAATTCTCTTTGCGTAATTTACCTATTGTCCTTAATTAGTTTATCAAACTTTTTCAAATTAATCCTCTTAGTTGCAGTCATATGTCATCCACTTATCCTTAATCACACAAATTAACTCCTCTCAATTCACCACCTTTACATTTTTTGGCTCAATGCACACAGTATGCACATCAACCCAGTGATTATTATAAACAATCTGCATTAATGGTGAATTTCAGTTGGAAGGACTCTTCAGCAGTAAAAATTCAATCATGGCATGTTGCTTAAAGCACAGTGACTAATATTCACTGCAGATTTCCATTTCATGAACAAAAGCATCACAACATTTTTCTCCTAGCAATTTCCTGACAACTGAAATTAAAGAATAAATGCTCAACACATTTGGACACATCATACTGCCATCTGTTGGTGACTTACAACATTAGAGGCATTGCTTTTCATTCAGCCCTTGTAATTTGCAGTTTTACAATATACATCTGGGTTTAAAATTTATTATACTCTCTAAAAGGTGATGATGGCTAATATTTGAGATTCTGATACAGCTCAAGAGTGTCACTTTGAATGCCTAGTAAATTAGTATCATGACAGAAAAAATTGTATTCTCATCTTTAATTTCCAGATACAAATTCTAAATTTAAGTCAGTTTGTGCAGTATTTAGACATTTTATACTTCAAGCACGGATCATTGAAAAGTTGAGGACAAACACTAAGTAATTTTCTGATTTGCTAAATCAGATCAACAAAAGTCATGATGAATATCAAGTTATTGGACAAAATTACTATATGTTTTTTCTAAGTTGTTATTTTCATTATTAAACATTTTCTTAATAAAACCTAATCAGAAAATAAGATAGTTTGCAGAACACTAAACTACATCAAAATCTAACTTCTTATTCCAGCAGATAACAAGATACTAGCTAAGCCAGATTTGCATTATTAAATGTGTATGTGATCACTTCTCTTTTTCTTCCTGTTTCCTATTTGCACAAATAAACCTTTGTTTATATCTCAGTGTTTGTATTTATTTTAAGAAGGATTTTTTTCACTAAAATCTTCCTAATAACGGCATACTTCTCTCTCAGTATTTTGCAAGGTTTGTTCCTATTCTAGTTCAGTTCTCTGCATCATAATTTGGGAGAGGAATTAAGAATGACTACAGAATAACATTTAGAGATAAAACGGAGCACATATACATAATACCGCTTTAATAGGGATACAAACTTATTGATTCCATTGACTTAATGTGATGCTTGTTAATTGCACTGTGATAATTAATAGTTCCTTTTTTTCCATAGCATTGTAAACTCTGATATGATCATGAGGAAATTTTCTTTCATTTGTGGTGGTATAGCAAAAATTTCAGAAATATTGTTATGGATGCTTGTACTTGCTATATTAATTAAAGTTCATTGCAAATTGGTTTACATGTATGTTTATTGCAGCACTAGTTCCATTTACCTAGCATCATCAAGGCTTATATAGTAACTGGTTAAATAATGAAGGTGTGTGATGTTACTATCCTAGCTCTACCTTTTTATACTGTTGGGACATTGCCTGCAAGTGTGAAAGTGGTGGAGCTTGTACCTCAAGAGGATTGCAACACACATTTTTTATCATTTGCAAACTTTCCACAAATACCTATGATTTGAAATGCAGTTTTAGAATATGCTGAACATTTTCACAGATTTTTTTTTAATTATGTAATGAACCAGTCCAGCATTATCGTTTTTATCATGGCTTTGTATTTTTGTGGTTGTTGTTGGCATTTGACCAGTTTGAAAGTTGAAAGCATATTTTAAAAATAGATATATCAGAATTCAATTCAGAATAAACATCGGTAAGATCAGCCATTAGTTTGGCAAGTTTGAGTACATTCGTGTAAGCAATTACCAGAAGCTAATCATGCTTTTTGCAAGTCAGATATAAATTTCATTATAAAAGCCACTGAAGTAGATTTTCTCTGGTACCATTCTCTCCCTTTTAATTCTTCATCATGTTTGCGAAAGCTAGAACGTTTACTTTCTACTTAGAATAGTTAATTTCTATTTTTTTTCTTTGTGTATAGTTTAATTCCAGCACAAAAAGTTAATCTTATTTATGTGTGCTTATTTGAAATAGACCAGACTTGGGTTTATGAAGCTAGTTTGCTTCAACAAATTGTAATTAAAATCAACGTGATTTTAGTGTTTGGTGTTCAAGTAATATACTATTCTACATATTAATCAGCTAATCTCCAGTCTCAGGAAATGAATTCATAGGAGATTTATGGTTAGTACTAGCATGAAGTAGGCTGGAAGAATTTCCTAAAGGTGTAAAGATAAAGATTTCCCGTGTCTAGTTGTGTCTGACTCTAGGGGGCGGTGCTCATCCCTGTTTCTTGGCCAAGGTAGCCAGGGTTGTCCAAAGATGCTTCCGTGGTCATGTGGCCAGCATGACTATACACCAAGGCTCACAGACTGCTGTTTCCTCCCCACCAAAGTAGTATCTATTTATCTACTTGCATTTGCATGTTTTTGAACTGCTAGGTGGGCAAGAGTTGGGGCAAGAATGGGAACTCGCCCCATCATACAGTACTTAGCTTTTAAACTGCAAGCCTGATTGATAAGCTTAGCATCTTAATTACTAGGCCACCGTGCCCCCAGCATGCTATTAATTCAGGCCAACTTGTTCTGTTTGGCTACGTGTACTTTTGCCTATTTTTGGCATGGAATTGAAAGTCTGTAAACTTTCCAGGAAGTGTATTTTCAAAGGGGGGGAAGAATTGATCACAAAGCTGTTTTGGGAAGAGTTTCAAATTTAAGGAGAAACTGGGAAGAAATGGAACCAATTCTCTCACCTAGAAGAAAGATCCATTTCTGGAGTAATTCATAGGTTACATTCAAAACATCATCTCAAACTTAAAGCATACTGAACTAATTTTGAAGAACCCTTACCATGGCATCATCTGCAGTTCTGTTTTTAGTGGTCGGACATGAAGTCTTGATTATTCCTTGCATCCGAAGTTCTTCCAAAATGTCTGATGACGTCTGTCTTTCTGTTTCTAGCTTGCTCAGTGATTTAATGGCACCTAAATATTTCGAATTGTTTTTAAGTGGAGGGAGAGAATGATTAATCAGCTTTTTCTTTCGTATTTTCAATCACTCAAATTAATGAAATGAATATTAATTAACATATTTTCACTTAGAGTACTTGAATGCATGGGGGAAAGAGTCAGAAAAAGGAGGAGAAAAGTATAAATTACTGTACTCTTGGGAATCTTTTTCTTCCCTTCAATCTCAAAACAGCCTTAAAATATTTCAAGTTCATTTTTTAAAAAATGTTACATCATAACCTTTTTTCCTATTAATTCAGCTAATTTGGATCTTTAAGTTGCTATAGTTTTATTGCCCTTTCCTCCCATGCCCACCCAAAAAAATCTTAATTTTATTTACCCTTTCTACCAGACAGTTTGGTTTATAGTAAAACCAACTAGCAAATGAAACTTTCAAGCCAACGCAAACACTCTTTTGTACATGCATGTAATTAAACAGTATTATCCACATTGCCCAGTTGTAGTTTTTCTACTTTTGGTTTTGCTTAATCTTCTTGTACATTACTGCCCTGAGGCGCAGGGGTTAGAATGCAGTACTGCAGGCTAATTCTGCCGACTGCCAGGGGTTCAATCCTCATTGGTTTAAGGTTGACTCAGCCTTCCATTCTTCCCAGGTTGGTAAAATGAGAACCCAGATTGTTGGAGGGGAGGGGGGCAATATGCTGACTCTGTAAACTGCCTAGAGAGGGCTATAAAGCACTGTGAAGCGGTATATACGTCTAAGTGCTATTGCTTATTCTTCTATGTGTTGCAGTTTGGCCACATATTAGCGCATCAGCAATACTTATACCCTGGCAATCTAACAATTTCAGATAGTTTGCTGGTATAGTAACCCACCAGCCACTCTGCCCAAGAGCACCCTTTCCATGCCCATCTCAAGAATTATGCTGGAATGCCTGCCAATGTGTATCTGTGGAGCAGATTTTAATACGCAAAGAAATTGAAGGACACAGGAAGGACAAAGATGGGACAGAAGCCCAGGTGTAGATCGGAGACAGCTGGGCATGCATTTTACCTCTTACAGTATATCAAAAGGCCTCATCTCTAAATTATGCCAATCATGCGAGAAATACTCAATATAGCTTATGCCCCAGAATAATGGTTCTTGAATGAGTCATTCATCTCCCTATGAAACAGCCCTCTTTTATAATTTATCACACACACCCATATGTTGACTTTTGGTCTCTTCTTTAATGGACTGGGATCCCTTCATTCCATCTTCTGGCAAGCCTCTTCCACAGGAATCATCTGCAGCTGTTGACTCACCTTGTGAGGCGAGGCTATCTGTGTCAAGAAATATTTTCTCTCTAGCCTAAAAAATAAATTACAGCATCATTTGTACATATACAACATTTGATGTGTTTCTGTGTGTTTGCATGCACCCTTGTGGGAATGTTGGCTAGGAGATTGGGCGAGATGATTGACTGCTGATTTCCCTAACTTAGCTTTTTCCATATCTGCTGGGACACAATTTGCTGCCATGAACAGATGACGCCTGTCCTTTAAGCTCTGTGTTGACTTCCTGTCATCCCCTAAGTGCTGGTTGTTGCCCAGAAAGCCCCCTGTGGCTTGGCTCCAAAGAACAGATAGCACTGCCTCTTCCAGACAGAATTGGCTCAGGCAACATGATTATTTTGGATACATTCAGAGATATATCTAACCTTGGAAGTAGCCCATGTTGAAATGTACAGCACAGTCAAACAACAGAACAGGAAATGTTTTGTGACGTTTTGTACTATGTCATAAACTGTTTTATGCTAACCTTTATATCATAAAATGTTTTATAAAATCTGCCAAATTTCAATTCCTTGAGAGTCCTGTGTCCTGGATCTTGGACACTTTCTGTAAGTTAGCCCATTTGAGGTACTTTGGTTCAAACATTGTAGCCCTATGATGTACTTTTTCAGCCAGTTAAAGGTTATGGGAAAGAGACTTTTAGTAGCCTGTAGATCGCCTTGCCCCATTCAGAGTTTTATGGCAATAGAAGACAAAGTCAGACTCCCTAATTTTTTTTTTTTTTCATTAAAAAAAATCTATTAAGGAGAAAAAGGTGCAATATTTATATTGTGGGGAGAGCAGTAACAGATTTTTCATAAGAAAAAACCTGAAGACTGATTTTGGAATAAGTAGGCAAGACTGAACAAGAAGACTACTTTATTCCAGTGTTCATTTTCATAAACATAATTTTCATATGCCATTTCTTACAATAATGTATAAGAATATAGTATCTTGAGATGCTTCTAGATTGTAATGGTGCTTAATGGCCTAGAACAGTGATGGCGAACCTTTTAGAGACCGAGTGCCCCAAAACTGCCCCCCACCCCCATCCCCACTCCACCCTGCCCACTGGGCCACCCACCACCTCCATGGCCCGCCACAGATCACCCAGGGAGCCCAGCAGCGCCATGGCAGCCATACCCTCTGCCCGTGCCCCGCAGCATCATCTGTGCGCAACGGGGCGCAAGGGTGGAGTCTTGTCCCCGCTGCCCACCTACCATGTCCTTGGCTCCGCTGCTTCATGTGGGCTGTGCCCAGGGGCAACTCTCCTCCGGTGGCTGCTGATGAGGAGGGGGCCATGAGAGGAGGCGGGGCTGGGGAGACGGTGCGTGTGCCCACAGAGAGGGCTCCGAGTGCCACTTCTGGCACCCGTGCCATAGGTTCGCCACCACTGGCCTAGAATATCCTTTAGTTATAGGAATAAGATAACCACTAGAACAGGGAAAGGAGATAATAAAACAATTCTTAAGGAATAATAATATGGCAAGGCTCAATAGATGGATAAAAGTGCCAACTCCAGTCTAAATATGTGGCTGACTTTGCAATGAACTATATTAATAATAATAATAGTAGTAGTAGTAGTAGAGTTTGAAGAAGCAGGATAGGAAGACTATTGGTGCTTTTGAAATTTGGTGTTGGACAAAACTCCTGAGCGGGGGGGGGGGGTTGGACTAGAAGACCTTCAAGGTCCCTCCCAACTCTGTTATTCTGATAATACCATGGTTAGCCAAGAAAACAAATGGGTCATCTCAGAATTCTCACTCAAGACACAAAAGACTCAAATTATATTACTTAAGACACATTATGCAAATATCTAGCCCCCTGGAGAAGCCTCTAATGCTGGTAAAAATGGAGAGAAAGAGGAGAGGATTCCCAACAGCAAGGTGGATGGACTCAGCTACAGTGGTGATGAGTACAAAATACAGATAGTCCTCAACTTATGACCACAATTAAGCCCAAAATTTATGTTGCTAAGTGAGACATTTGTTAAATTTTGCCCCATTTTACAAATTTTCTTGCCACATTTATTAAGTGAATCACTACAGTTGTTAAATTAGCAACATGGTTATTAAGTGAATCTGGTTTCCCCATTGACTTTGCCTGTCAGAAGGTCGCAAAAGGGGATCACATGACCCCGGGATACTGCAACCATCATAAATGTGAGTCAGTTGTCAAGCATCTGAATGTAAATCACGTGATCGTGGGGATGCTGCAATGGTCATAAGTGTGAAAAATGGTCATAAATCACTTTTTTCAGTGCCGTTGTAACTTCAAACAGTCATGAAGTGAACTGTTGAAAGTTGAGGACTACCTGTATTGTAGGAGTTTTTAGTGGAATTAATTAATTTGGAAGTTACCTGGGGGATTCTTAAGGGTATTTATTTATTTGTCAAATTTAGATACTGCCCATCTCACTCTCAGAATGACTCTGGATAGTTTACAGCTAAAAGCATTAAAAAAACCCATAAAAAGATACAGTAAAAGATAAAGTCAAAGGCGACCCTGCCGGTTTTATCCCACTGGTCGTTGCCAACTACAGGGGATGTGCTCATCTCTGTTTAAAGGCCACTGAGCCAGCGCTGTCTGTGGTCTTGTGGCCAGTGTGACAGCACGGACTGCTGTTACCTTCCCATTGAAGTGGTACCTATTTATCTACTCACATTTGTATGCTTTCCAACTGCTAGGTTGACGGGAGCTGGGGCAAGGACGGGGTTCACCCCATCAGGTGGAGCTTGGGTCTTTAACGTGGATGTCCGGCTTTCCAGCCAACAAGCCCAGCAACCACTGAGCCACCACACCACCCTATAAAGTACGTCAATAAAATGGGAGCCAACTAAAAACAAAGATAGTATAAATTAAAAGCTAAAAGGCAGAGGGAGCGCCTTCAAACTGCTAACCACACACACACACACACACACAAACACACACACACACACGGGTTGCATGCTACACACGAGTTGGAGGTCTTCACGCCTTTCTGAAAGATGAGGAGAGCGGAGCCTGTCTCACTTCTGAGGGGAGAATATTCCAAAGAAGGCAATGGCAGAGAAGGCTCTCTTTCTGGACCATGCCAATTGTATGTTTTAATCAATAGGATCTGTAACATACTTTCCCTGGCTGACTGGGTGGGATGGGTCAATGTGATGGGGGTCAGATAATTTCTCAGGTTGTTCCTATTAGAAATCAGGTGCAAGAAGGACACAGCGTGTTATTTCTCTTCAATGTGCTCCACAAGTACATAAATAAACAAAATGGACATTGCCACCTTCTCTCACATTTTCCAGTGATCTCCAATGTAAAAGGAAATTAAACACTGACCTTAGAAATATTCATGAGTAGTGGAAGCAGAGAGAAGATTTAAGAGTGTGTTACCTGGTTTGGGGTTTCTCTGTCATGATGCCGATTCTTGGATGCCGATTCCTTGATAATTGCTTGGCTGGAAGTGCAGCCCATGGGTAAAACAAGACTGAAAAGTAGAACAAGCAGTTCTGCCCTCTGGTTTTCAGGAAAACCGTGTGAGCACTTCACCATTGCTATGAAGTTAAGCTGTTGCTATGGTCTGTTGCTACAATAAATGAGGCTCAGAAAAGTCTTTTGTCTATGGCCTAACCCTGCAAGTGCTCAGCATCTACCTACATGACCTTGCTTAAACATGCAGAGTTTGGTCTTATATGGTCAGTAGAATAACATTCTCAAATCTTGGTGGATTATGCAAGAATGCTCCCAAGCGCCGTTAAGGAGAGAAAAACTCACATGTATGTAGTCTTTTCTATAGTATCAGTCAGAATCCAGACATTTCCCTTGGCAATAACACAAAAGAAAAACAAAAATAAAGGGAAAATACTCTCAAATTTATTGGGAGAAATGTTTCAGTTCAGTTCAGTGGCTCTTTCATTTTACATTCATATTACATTCAAAGACAGACACACTAATAAAAAAGAGGATTAACTGATACAATAGGGAATCTTTTTAAATAAGTTGTTACAAGCTTAAGATAACATATGTTGCTTGCTAATTGCTCTTCACAAAACAGAAAGCTTAAGCAATGTTTGAAAGTGGTCACTTGAAACAAGGAAGCATAGATAAGTATAGGAAATAAACTACACAATAGTCAAGAAATTATTGTTCTTGCACTCAGTGCTTTGTTAAGGTTTATAGTTTACACTTAATTGTAATAAGCCCTAACAGGTGATTCCAAATATAATCAATCAGTTTTGTTTGAGATATGGACCATCCTCTTTCTGTATTTTCAAAGCACATAAAAGAATATTAGGCTTATGTGCTGTGCATTCAGTTGTACAAAATAACTTGGGAGACAGATCTAACCCAGTTAGCCCACACAAAATATTCTATGTCAACCATCACTAACTAGGTATACTCTAGATCAGAGGTCCCCAACCTTTTGGGCATTAGGGACCGGTTCCGTGGAGAGAAGTTTTTCCATGGACCAGAGGGAGCAGGGTTTTGTGTGCTGTCTGCATCCCATGGATGGAGCTTGTGTGGACCGGTTGCTGGCATGCCGCAGCCCGGTACTGGTCCATGGACCGGGAGTTGGGGACCCCTGCTCTAGATGTGTTGGTGGCGTTTTTGAGAATTTTAGTCTCGGCACATTTAGAAGCCATTGGGTTAAACATTATTACAGTGTAATATATGAATTCCCTTGAAAGGGAAGGATGCCCACTAGGCAAATAACAAATAGGTTTTTGTTGAAATATTTGTATTATATTTGCATTGATTTCTAAAGAAACATTTGGCTGCCAATTGTCTATTTTGTGTTTGTAGATGCTGGCTATTTTATTGTTGTTAGCTGCTTAGAGTCACTTGAGATGGTTGGCCATATAAACTAAATGAATAAATAGAAAGATGGATGGAGAGAAAAATGATGGATGACAGACAGACAGTCAGATAGATAGATAGAAAGAAAATAGCCCTTTTCTGACAATGGATCAATTATATTGCCAACAGTATATCAGAAGCTCCCACTGACAGACAACTCATAGTCATCCCTACAAGAGAACCATCAAATAACTCTTAATATTCAGTGCACAAAGTTCATCCCATGACAATCACCATTCATATATACGTATTTCTGACAGTGCAAAACAGCACCTAATAGATTTAAGAGCTGAGATTTCCCTGGGACCTGCCTGCAAAAACGAGTGGGCAGCCTCTGCCCAGCCAATGCAAGGCCATTGCCATTGGAGATAGCTACTCGAACACAAAGGCCAGCTATACAGTATACCAGTGGTTCTTAACGTGGGCGATATTGCCCCCCCAGGGGGCAATTTTGTTTTTCAGGGGGGCGATGGAACTAAAAGGGGCAATGCGGGGGCGAAGGAACTAAAAGGGGGCGATATGGGGGCGATGGAGCGAGAGGTTTTGGGGACACTTTTGAGACTTTTTCTTTTTTTTTTCAATATAAAATTTTATTGTTTTTATCATAAAAGAAAAAAGAAATACATCACAGATATTACACAATGTTTTATCCCATCCCCCCACCCCCCGGACTTCCCAAACCAAACCTAGGCTAATATTCAAATACAAGTAAACAAATATTAATATCTCTAACTCCAAACTCTAAACTTAAACAATCCATCTCCT